TTATTCGTCCAAATTACGAATTATATTTAAGGACCAAATCGGAGTGCGAGATGACTGCTTAACTAGTTAGAGATCGTGTACGAACGAACAAACGTAACATGATGGCATGGATACTTGACCGTAAGCCTTCAGCTAAACAAATCGACTTAAACAGTGAGGGTCAGCATCCAATGTTCATTGAAGAATGCTGTGGCTAACAATTCTGGGGAACCACCTACCGCTACAGGTTTTATTCAAAGCATACCAGAGAATGGTCCTTTGAACAACCCCATCATAAAATTCTCATTTTATTGCCGGTATATGGATGACACCTTTATTCTTTGAGATAATGGTTTGGATAGGATCACAATAATTACTCAATTCAATGCAGTACATTCTGCTATGAAATCCATGTGAGAAGAGAAATCCGAAAATAGAATTGTCTACCGAGGTGCCAATATTGAAGAGTCCTTCTGCATCGTCTATCGAGTACCAAACAAAGTGCCAAAAACATCCAGGTACCGCATATTCCAAACAGCAGAGGCTATCACGATTCGCCTGAGACAACCGGTGCTCTGCGTGTAGAAGAAACAGGTCCAACCGCTATTACTGTCCTGGTCTGCTGTGGAGTTAGCAAATTCATAAATACCTCATTACATCGGCCTTTTCGGTATGGCCCTCCATTCTGTACATATGAATTCTCCTACCATTTGTCAGTACACTTGCATTAACTAACCTTATTTTTCTTATTTAAACGTAGTGGTTAACTTACACACTGGTACACATACAAGCACATAAGATTCAACCCCCAAAACCCCTTTCTCTCTACCCCCGACCTTGACATAATCACTCTAACATCTGAAGTTTATAATCAATATGAATGGGACTTAACATGAACATGACTCCGAAGAATTTACTACTATATATTCGTTGTCATTCGTAATCATTTAATTTGTATTATTGGTGTTCAATTAAGTGTTACAAGTTTACATGTTACCACATACATATATTTTGGACTATAATCTATTAACTGTCTAGCTGCAAATAACTTTTGAAATTCTGACCTAAATGATTCCACGTTACTCATTTTGAAAACCACTAATGTTGTCAATAACAATCATTCTTTCATAATTATGGATATATAACTGCGGAACCTGATGATGAAGTTATCGAAAGGAATATTCTTCGTTCAATAAATAATACTTTGAAATGGATTTAGGAGAGAAAGAAACAAAGTGAATATTTTCATTCATAAATGAGACTATGGGTTTAATGTTTATGTTTCACTTATGATATTCAGCTTTGCCGATTTTTATTCCTTTACGTTCTCAGTGGATCATAAGACTTCCACTTAGAGCCTTGAAGTTTCGGTAGCAGTGGTATCTATTTTTATGGGATGGGGTTGATAGGGCCACGCCTAACCTTGAATTTGTATGAGTCTTATTAGTGGTTTAGTGAGTTAGAGGAGGAATATTCTACCGATGTACCACCGACCCACCAGGTATGCCGTACGCTATGAATTATCAAGGACTTTAGGTTTTCATAAAACATAAAACGAAGTTTTGGAAATTATTGCAATCCATTTACTTTCGAACACTAAACCTGTGGATATAATCTTGACTACTAATACCTATAACTAACCGTTTGGCATTTTTTGACCTTTTAACACTAACTCATATCTGTAATTGCATATATTGTTGGGTTGTTCAAGTTGGCCCAAGTCAGTGAGTCTATGGTTTTGGTATCATTTTAGTTAACTGTGCTTAACTGTATTGCATGTTGTTGTATTGTATTGTTGTTGTCGCTTGTTTCAGGCAAAGGAGACCTCGCCACACTCTACCAAACAACTAGGCACCTATCGGGCGAACGTTCGACACAGATTAAGCCAGTGAAGGATAACAATGGAAAGTCAACCACCAAAGAGGTGGAGCAAAGAAAACACTGGGCTGAACACTTCAAAAGACTTCTAAATCGACCACCACCTACAACGCGCCCAACAATACCAACAACGGAAGCAGAACTATCAGTGAACATCGACTCTCCGATGAAATCAGAAGTCCTGAATGCAATCAAGATACTGAAAACCGGAAAAGCAGCAGGACCAGATGGAATACCAGCAGAAGCATTGAAAATGGACCCAGAGACAACAGCGGACTTGATGACACCACTACTGGAGAAGGTGTGGAAAGACGGTAAAGTACCCGAGGATTGGAAGAAAGGATACTTATTCAAACTACAATAGGAAGGAGACTTAAGTCAATGCAAAAACTAGAGCGGAATAATGCTCCTGTCCATCCCAAGCAAAATACTAAGCCGCATCATCCTGGAGAGAATCAAACAAGCCCTGGATGAAAAACTTCGACCGGAACAAGCTGGATTCAGGAGAAACAAATCATGTATTGATCAAATCGCCACTTTACGAATCATCATTGAACAAAGCTTAGAATGGCAGTCACCTTTCTATCTCAACTTCATCGACTTTGAAAAAGCCTTCGACAGCGTCGATCGAGAGGTCATTTGGAAACTACTTCGCTATTACGGGGTCCCATCGACAATTATACACCTCATCCAACAGTTATACGACAATGCTGCATGCCAAGTAATCCACAACGGGAAACTTACGGAAGCCTTCGAAGTGAGGACGGGAGTGAGACAAGGCTGTCTACTATCGCCAATGGTTTTCCTGATTGCAGTAGATTGGATAATGCGACAGACAACCGACAATGAGGAAACAGGCATAAAATGGACTCACACAAAAAACTTGGAGGATCTGGACTTCTCCGATGATATATGTCTGATTTCCCAAAAACTGGAAGATATTCAAGTGAAAGGCAACAAGCTGGCAGAAGAAGCATCAAAGGTAGGAACTCAAGTGAACATAGATAAAAGAGAGGTGATGAAGATTCCTGGCGAACAGAAACAGCAACAACAACAGACAACAATCAGCCGGCATAAATGGGAGGAACCTGAAAGAAACAACCTCCATGACCTACTTGGGAAGCGTCGTTTCAACTACAGGCGGACGGAACTGGCGAGGATATCAAAGCCAGAATCGGAAAAGCGAGACAAGCTTTCATTACTCTTAATTCTGTGTGGAGGTCAACAGCACTCAGCATCAAAAGTAAGATCCGGATTTTCAACTCCAATGTGAAGTCAGTCAGTGCTACTATACGGATCAGAGACTTGGCCAGCGCGTCATAAAGAGCATCTCAAACAAACTACAGACCTTCATTAACAGTTGTCTTCGCTCAATACTCAAGATCAGATGGCCAGAAAAGATCAGCAACAGGGATCTCTGGCATTGAGCGAACCAACCAGGAACCGATTGTGAAACAAATAGGCAGGAAGAAATGGAGATGGATTGGCCATACGCTCAGGAGATCATCAAGTGACATCACTGGACAAGCCCTTGAGTTGAACCCGAAAGGGAAGCGGCGAGTTGGTCGTCAGTGCAAGGATGACTTGGAGGAGGTCATGTGAGGAGGAGATGAAAGCATGTGGGCAGAATTGGAGCGGAGTGAAAAAAGTTGGCAGAAAACCGAAGACAGTGGAGGTGCGCAGCTGAAGTCCTATGTTCCTTTAGGAATTAAAGGATATAACAATAAATAATAATAATCAGGATTTTATAAGGAAAGTGATAGGTTAAGATATTCCGCTCCATTTTCGCACCCATTTGCATCATCAACAGATACTTAAAAGAAGAATGATAATCAAATACTTCGATTTAATAAGTGTGGTCACTAAAAAGTAGGCGGCTATACTGCTCCACACAAGATAAATTTACTTGATTTAGTACAGTGATGGATGACGTTACGAGCACGATTTATTACTATTATTATTGGTATTACTTATAATCATATCAACTTAGTCAGACTGTTTCATAATTTGACTCAAACACATTTTCCTTTCTTTTTCCATCGTTGTTTGTTGCAACTTTCCATATCTTCGATATTGAAACGATAAACAAAGATCCACTGATTATTTTCAAGTTTGACTACGGACTGGCATCAGTGGATGAATGGTCTACGAGCTTTCATTGTAACTGGAAGCTCATGGTTCGAATCCCAGTGGGTATGTACTGCCGGTGGGTCCAGCTGTCCAGTACCCCCTGGTTTTCAATGGTTCCCTAACTGATATCAAAATTGATATAAATCAAATCCTTACAAACTGACTCTTGAAAATTCAGTGATTAACCTCTTTCTCCACCTAATTATATTACTTTTTAATACTTTCGCCGTATCTCACGCTATTTTGTGACTACAAGCAACTGAATGAAATGCAATAACCGAGAGTTTTTCTAGGTTATTTAATTTAGTAGGGGTAATCATTCTGCGTCTAGCTCAGGACCTCAAGAAGAAAATGAAGGCGAAATCTCGTAGAGGATTGAGTCTTGTTTCAGACAGAGTGATTTTGCGTCATACTATGCAGTGTCGATGTATATTTACTTAAATATTCTATACAGGGAGTATATATTTTGCAAGGAACGGGGCTAGTAGTTCTGTACTGTGTTTAGATATAAATTTCAGATATAGCCGATATTATTAGTAATGTAGTTCCACTTTTAGGAAATACATCGGTAACACCTCTCCAAATGCATACTGCAAACTATTCCCGAATTTCGGCAAATGTGCACTAACTAACTGATATATTTTTTACAACACTTGTATAATGACACTTTATTTAGTTGGGGAAAATACTAAATTATTCAATTATAAATCCATTAGAAAAAAAGGTTCGTCTTATACAATACACCTAAATAGCTGGATGTAACAGTTGTGAGGGACATAATAGAAATTCATAGATACATATCGATGATCAGTCATCAGCTCAAGTCACACAGCAGTCCAAAGTCTTGTGGACTGAAAACCTTACTGCACAGATAGCACCTGGTGATAAAAACGACCTTTTTTCGCATTCGAATATCTGCCTGATGCATAAGTCTTGGACAGCATACCATAGATTCGAGAAACGCTGTCAAAAATGATCTGAACAAAATAAGCCAAAAACACCTGTGCACTTACTGCAATGCGTTTGGCGATTGACAGGTGAAGATGATCAATTTGACTCAATAAATCTAAAATGCCCTGCAAAAAAATGAATTCAGAGAGAAATTAAATGTATTCGCTAACTAACAATAATAAGTGAAGAAAGTAACCGTTAGTCATAAACAGAACATAGCAAAAATATTAATTCAAACACATATGTTGTGTTTGAATTGATATTTTGAGCAAAGAATATTCTTTTCGATAAATTCCTCTTCCGACTCTACAATTATGTATGTGTTTATATACACAAAATATTCAAGATTAGTAGTTAATAACAATATTAGTGTTTTTCTAAATAATACAAATTTGTAAAGTATGATCAATGCAATTACAGTTCACTAAAGACACTTAACCGTCGGTAGTATAGCGGTTAAGACGCTCACCGACCATGCACATGGTCCGGGCTCGATTCCCCGACCGACGCACTCCTTTACCTCACTAAGCCAGAAATAATTCTGGTAAAGAGGAAAGGTTGGGCATGAGGCTAGCAACCCCATCCTGTAAAACTAAACACTGCTACAGAAACTTCAAGCCACTAGCTTGGAGCCCTATGTTCCACTGTGGAACGTGAAGGAAGGGAAAAAAGATACTTAAATTATAATAGTAATAAAGATATAATAGCGAATAGAATGTCAACTAAAATTACGGGAATTCCACAAAAATTCAGGATAATTCAAACCTCGATGACCAAGGTAATGATAATGTCTGAACTAACTTCTTTTGGATGGATAAATTAGGCTTGTTAATGTGGATCCCCACAGCCTCAGCAATATTTAGTAGTCGAAATCTTAAGGCAAAATTGAGATTCGTAGGTATGCGGTAAATGACCTTGAGAGCATGGTTAACGTCAATCTTGTGTTCTGTCTCCACAAGATGAGACAGAATAGCGCTACGAATGGATTTTGTTTGACCTTTGCTTAACCACGAAGGGTGGTGTTCGGAAATTCGACGAGAAACACGCTTAATTGTGCGACCTATGTAACTGGCTCCACAGGAGCAGTTAAATTGGTAGATACACATGGATGAGGCGAAATTAGGCAGTTTGTCTTTTTTATTCCCGAACGCAGAAGAGGAGTGGTTTTGAAGATACAACGTAATTCACCAGCAGAGAATGCTCGTTTTACCGCATTTCTAATGCGCTGTGTTAGTATCTCGCTAGTGGCCCCAAGGAACTGCATCTGTAAGAATAAGGTCTTTTTTGGAACTGTTGGTAACTTTGGCTGCTTTGCTTTCAAATTCATATTCTGATCAATAAACTTTTCAGCATAACCATTTTCACTTAGCAACCGTTTAATATTATTCAGTTCTTCATCAAGACATTTGTCCGAGCAAATTGCTCTTGCTCTGTGAACCAGGCACTTTATCAAATTGCGTTTGTATTTCAAGGGCACAAAACTGAGAAAATGTGTGTACTGCCCGTTGATGTAGGCTTTCTATAAACACTTCTTCTTATTGTGCCATCCTCTTTTCTGGTCATAAAGACGTCTAAAAATGGAATACTAGAGTCTTTTTCTTTCTCAATAGTAAAATTTATTGCAGGATGTACGTCATTAAATTTATCCAGGATGCTCTTTGCTTCCTTCTCGTTTTTCATAATCAAAAGAGTAGCATCCATGTACCAACAATAAAATTCAAGTTCACTAATAACATCCTTCAGAGGCCCATTTTCTAGTTTCGCAAGGAAAATGTCGGCTAGAATGGGTCCTAGTGGACACTGCCACACCGTCACTTTGTCTATATAGTTCCTTATTAAAAAAAAAGTGGACATTCATTCTACATTTCAAGAGAAACTCTTTCATAAAAGATATAGGAATGCCAACTTCGATGTTTCGTCTTTTGAGTTCTTCGCATGCAAAGTCCACTGTTTCCATAAGTGGTACATTGGTTAATAAGGAAGATACGTCAAATGATATCATGAATTTATTGTCAACATTTAAATCTTTTATCCTTTCCACAAATACGAAAGTATCCTTTACACTGTGTTTCGACAACTCGGTATGAAGCGGCTGTAAGATTTTGACTAACCATTTGGCTACAGGATGGTATGGCGAATTTAACATATCTAATACTGGTCGAAGCGGTACGCCATCTTTGCGCACTTCAGGCGAGCCATATAGTTTTGGTGTGAAAGTTCCAGTGGGTTTAAGGGATGTATACTAACTCTGTGAGATGAAGCCTTGTTGTTTCAGTCGTTTCAATGTTTCCGTTAACCGTTTCTTTATCCTTTCAATCGGATCCAGAGAAGAAGAAATTTTTTGGAATTTTTGATTATCTTTAAGAATGGTATTCATCTTCTCAAAGTAATCCGTTTTGTTCATGATGACCACTCCTAAGCCCTTATGCAGTCTTGTTATTATTATGTTTTCATTTTTGCGGAGATTATCCAGAGCTTTCTCTATGTTTTTTGGTTAAGATACTACATGCATTGCGTTTACTATTCATGTAATAATAGCAACAAGCGACCAGTGTTGATTCAAGTCTTTCAACAACTTCAGTTGATGAGGGTGTTAGGCCTTCTGTTTGAGTGTAGAGACTTTCGAACTGAATTTGTGCATTCATTTTGTTAATTTTTACATGACTATCACAGAATTTAATTATAAATTGTAATAGTAATAAAGATATAATAGCGAACAGAATATCAACTATTATTATTTAAGCATCTTTAATGAACTGTGATTGCATTGATCATACTTTACAAATCTGTATTATTTAGAAAAACACTAATATTGTTATTAACTACTAATCTTGAATATTTTGTGTATATAAACACATACATAATTGTAGAGCCGGAAGAGGAATTTATCGAAAAGAATATTCTTTGCTCAATTATTTTGTGTTTTCTAAACAGAACACTCTCGAAACTTTATCTTAGGACTGATTTGAAAAGGCATTTTACAGACATGTGTATATAGATATCTCTCTTTCTGTACGAAATGTAAACTGGACATCACTCAATCACATTGATCTCATGAAGGTTAGCTGATAATTATATTTTACATAAACATTATGAATTTAACATGTCTCCAACTGTGAGGTGTTTTTTCCTTAAAAGTCTGATTGACATCATAGTATCATGAGAAGGCAAACATACACTAATCATAATTTCTAACCAATAAAAGCAATTTTGCGTTGTCAAGTTCAATATGTACAAAAATGCGGACAAAAACATCCTATTATTCAAAAAGTAATAATCTAATTCTGACATGGGGTTTTGCAGTTGAGAGTGAACGTCAACTAACTAGGTGTTTTGATGCAGTTTTTGGAGAGGATGTTGAAATTTTGGATATATATATATATTACTGGTAGATTGTCTGTGTGTATGTGCATAATTTGTGATGGTGTGTTCTTCTAAATGATTGATAACGAAACGTTTTGACTCTCTAAGTGGAGACAAAATTTTACAGTGATAAATAAATTAGTCTGTATACTTGTATTCATTCGTCGATAAACTTTAAAGTGGACAAAACAGTGCACAAGTTATATTTTCAATATGAGAAAATTGGCATTTCAACTTTCAAAAAAAAATTGAAAAGAAACTCTAAGCCTTTTTAGTGTAATCCTAAAATGAATATGACTTTAGTATTCAAACTGACTACAGACCCAGAGGGCTGTATGTTGAAAAAATCTCTATGTAAAATGGTGGTAGACACAGAATACTGGACTGATAAAACGCTCAAGCATCTCACGTAAATCCTTTTCAAGTAACCTTGATAAATTTTTATAAGAATAACTAATACAGAAACTGACAGTATTATCAATAAACAGAATCTATGGTCGAAAGAACACATTTTATTACTGTAACACAATGTTTACTGACTTTAAATGCCTTGAGATCCAAACGATAAGCAAATTCACCTTATACAGCAAAATGATCAGAATTTCTATAACACTAGATCAATTGTAAACACGAATGTTGAACATAACAAACCAGTACCTGTTATTGAATCGATATGCCAGTGACACTAGCGTGGAATCTTAATGGACAGCCATGTTCTATGATCTGACTAGTGAAAACAATGGGGGGGGGCGGGGATCTTAATTTTAAACGACACTAGATGGGTCGTGTGGTGAGTGGCGCTGGTAAGTATAAAGTCCTGTTACTGACTACGAATAAACTGAAGCAGAAAACACTACCTAGTAGAATCATTGATACACACCTCAAAAGAGGAAAGAATGTAAACCGTTTAGAATAGATGTGGCAGTTGATAAAGGCCAGATTGATAACTATTTACTTAAACTAATTTTGTTGCTTTCGCTGGTTAGATAAGTTTGCTTGGTCATAAAATATAACGAATAACTCGATTTTACTCAAGTTTATGTTATCTTATATTTAGAGGTAGCTTAGATTCACTGGACAACAAGAATAGTGAATTATCTTCACTGGTGGAAACCAGCAGTTTTGAAGTCAACTAACCAAAGGATCGGTTGTTAACCACTTTTTTCTTTATCAATCATTATGTAAAAAAACACTTTTTTCCTTTATTCAAAAAGAAATTTACAAAAACAAAGGCAATAGTGATTTAAAAAATAGACAAATAACAGTTATTTGCGATTTACATGAATTTTATGTCTACGAATTTCTGATAATCGTCCCAAATTATCCCATTGTTCAACGATAGCTTGTGTACGATCATTCACCGACTGAAGTTTATCATAATTCAGTTGGCTGGATTTTGATAATTAAATGAGAGAAAATAAAGTACAGACAGAATTAAACCAAAATTGGAAGAGAGAAAAAACATCGGATAAAATACTGAACAAACATGAGACGAACATAACAATGTGATAGGATACGTCTTTATATAAATGGTGAATATTAGTATCTTCGATCACAGACACAGATTAATCTAAACACGTATAGTTATATATGAGTGAGCAACTATATTGCCATATGCATATATATATATATATATATATATATATATGCATGTATGTATATATATACATATATATGAGGCAGATTTTTCGGCTATAAATATTACTATCATCTATATTACAGTCATTACACTCATAATACATAACATCGACTGCCATAGGTGGTTAGAGAGCAGTCACATCCGTCAGTGGTGCTTGCCAGCTAAGTGGGGGTGGACAAAATGATATCAAACTATCGTTTAAATTGTTTACTGACGAGTTCAGCAGCAGTTTAGCCACACTGACTCAGTTAAGATATCTGAATTAATTCAAACTAAACGATTTCTCGTATTGGTTTGTAGGGATTTGGTTGATTGGTTACAGGATTTCATCATCTAACCAATAACATCTCAGGATGAAATCCTGTAACCAAACGATTTCTGGTGAACTATCGGGAGGATTGGCATTGCATAGAATAAAATGATTCACTAGCAGGACTGCACACTTTTACTTTGGAAACCTAAAATGTTCAGATAATCGTATGTCACCAACATGCAAATACATAATGTGCGACACAAAATATACTATCGACAGGTGATAACTGAAGATGAATCACATCACCAGTTAGAGTGTATTAAAAGTCATACTGTAACAGCAGAAAGCAAGACACGGAAGCCAAGGTATATTTTTCAATTGATCAAACATATATATGGTTTATATTATTTAACCAATCACTGAACGTGTGATTTTGGTTTACATCAAACGACATATACATATATGGTATTCTATTGCTAATGCAGTAATAAAATGTGGGGATATGTGAGAATAATATTCCGTTGGAACACATTGTCTGCATCACACCACCACAACATGAGCTTAGAATCCAAATAAATACTTTACAGAGTCATAGTGCATAAGATTACAAACTACGTACTGTCTCGCATGAAATACAAATTACAGTTAATCCAGTTAAGGTCTGATGAAAGGCACTACACCTTTGGATCAATGAACAATACTACAATTATATATATATATATATATATATATATATATATATATATATATATATATATATATATATATATATATAGTCATCACCGTAACAATACAATACAGACGATATCAGCTGTTCTTTGACGAAAAGTGTAAATATGCCTCAATTCAGCAATTACATTCAAGGACATTTGAAAATTTAGTTATGTGTAAGTACAATTAGATTTCTTAGCTGCCGCAAGGAAAGAAAAAAACAAAAACGAAAGAATAATAGATTATGTCATCTTTAATTTCTTGAAAAATCTCATTCATTTTGTTAGGAATCGTACTTTGAATGATACGAATGCATACTAATTTTTCCCACATCTCAACTGTAATATTTTAAAAATTATGGATGCTACAATATTTCAAAAAAGGACTTTTGCTAAAAGTTATTAGAAATAAAAAGCTTAAAATGATGTGACATTTAATAGACACGCCATTTATTGAACAAAGTTACGCTAATGAGCGTGAAACAAAGTAGTAATGAAATGTAGTTATTTTTAGATGCTAGAAAATTTTAACTAAGTCTGAACACAACAGTATAGATATAAAGACAATAACATGAAGTGAAAATCTACTGCGTACATCATAGAGAGCCTAAAGAACATTTATGAAGGTAATCGAACTGCCGAAAATACCCATTGGATCATGAAGATAATAAAAGAAAATTCATCGAAGAAAAATGTTTATGCAAATTTATCGAGGATAATAATGTAGATGTGGATGTCCCGATCCACTATTTAAAGGAACCACTATTGAGATGCACTTTTAATGTCAAGTTTAACAACACGCTCTATAAGCACAGAGATGGAGTGGCAATGGGGTCCTTTACTTGCAAACTGCTCTTCAGCAAATCTAGAGAATAGTATGTTACGACCCACTCCCGATAGTGTCCATATGTACCAAAGATATATGGATGATACTTTTATCATATGCAACGAGAACGCCAATATAGAAATCATAATAAAGGAGTTTAACAACTGTCATCATGCCACCTAATTCACATGGGAATCAGAGAGGAACTCGGAATTCCATTTTTACGATGTTTTTCTAAAAAAGGAGATATAACGATTCTCTTCAAACATCGATCTACAGGAAACCAACATGGAATGGTCAGTTCACGAATTTTCATAGTTGGATACCTTTGAGAAGAAAGAGAAATCTGATCTACTCCTTACCTTCAAGAATTAGAAAGATATGAACCAGTGACACAATGGACGAAGAACTGAATAGACTCAAACAAGTCCTCATGGAAAATGGATATCCTCCAAGAATCATCGAAAAAAAACTTGATGGTAAAGCAAAATCCCGAAAGAACGCAGACGGTGCCGAGAAAAACTATCATTTATGAACGTTGAGTTTAAAGATGGTATCGCTGCTGAGATCCTGAAGAACCGCTCATGCAGATAACTGAGAAAAGGCTTCCTTTCGGCTGAGCTACGGATCAGTTTTTACAGCCGAATAATGATCAATGGATGTGTGAAGGATAAACTGCCGCTTTGGGCCACTTCAATTCTAGCTCAATTACTAGCTAGCACTTGGTGAACTCAAGCCACGCAGCTCCACCATAGTTGTCTTTCAAGATTATCTACAAAATGAAACCAAATGGTACAAAGGGCGTCAGGTTTCGCCATTTGTGTATGACGGAGGCGTTGGTAATTCGTCAATACAACCCTGAATTATGTATACAGAAAACGTATGCCCAGACTCATTCTACATGGTCTTAACCTCTTCATCAGTCGTTCACTGTAAATTTTTTTATTTTTAATGATTACTTTGCCTTACATTGATAATTAATTCACTATTATAACTCTCATATGTTCATTTTAAATGTTTTCGCACCCTCTTCACACTTGTTACATAGGCACTAAACTACCCTTCTTCTAATTCAACAAGAGTTCTAACGTTATCAAATTTCTAATTCTTTTTTCCTGTGTCATTGAGTATTACGTAAAATAAAACCATGCAGTTCAACTATTCCAAGACTGTATGGACTGCCTGAAGTGTGTCTGTCACTTTTCGACATAGAACTTGGCACAAATGTGCGGAAGTTCAAGTCGCCACACACCGTGTAGCACGCGAAGCAAGAGAAGAAAGTACAAGAAAAGCATAATAGAAACAGTGAGCAGAGGTGTGAGACAAAGGAGTAATAAAAAAATACAAAACAGTTTCATTGAAGATCATAAGTCACAGGGAGTGGATGCATCTGCGCCACTGAGAACGGTTTTGAGCCATGTCACCAATTGTTTCCAACCATAGATTTTTACCGTCCCGAGGACCCCAGCCTGGAAGTCTACACCTTCTACGTGGCTTAGACCAACTGTTGTGGATTTCATTGACTGATGCCAAGTTTTTGTTTGACCGCCGCTAGCTTTTTTCCAGCCTGACCCTATATCCGCTAACATTGCTCGTCGAGGGAGGCGATGACTTGGCATACGTAACACATGTCCTAACCATCTCAGTCTTTGTAGCTTCACGACTTCGTCGATTGATTTCCCCTGTTTACCTAGAACTCTACGCCTAACCTCCATGTTGCTCACCTTATTATGCCACTTTACACGGGAAATAGAACGCAGGCACCTATGATCAAAGACAGCTAGTCTTTTCATGTCTTCCACTCTCAGTGGCCAGGTCTCACAACCATAAAGGAGGACGGAGCGGACTGATGAGCAGTACACCCGCCCTTTGGTCGATAGTCGAACATCTCGTCTACGCCAGAGTCGGCGTAAACTAACAAATGCGAAACGAGCCCCTTGTATTCGTGCTGAGATTTCGTCAGAGATCAGCCCGTTGGGGCTGATGGTACTTCCCAAATAAGTGAAGCGGTCAACGTGCTCTACCACTTCACTTCCTATTTTTAAACTAGGCGTCGATGTAGTCCAGTCCTGTAACATCATCTTGCATTTGGCGGGAGCGAATCGCATGCCAAACATTCGTAGATTGCGGCTCAAGGTGTTTAGAAGACTCTGCATTTCGTCAGCGTCTTCGCCTAGAAGGACTATATCGTCTGCATATTCCAAGTCAACGAGATTATTCCCCGGTAGCAAGTCAATCCCTGAGTCGCTGAAGTCACCTAGGGTTAAGTCCATTAACACATCTATGATGAAGTTGAATAGAAAAGGAGATAATGGGCATCCTTGACGGACACCACTGGTCGTCATCAGTTCAGATGACAGCTCGCCGTAAGCCCTCACCTGGCTGTATGAGTACGAGTAGAGTGCCTTAATCAGTGCAATATATTTTCTTGGAATTCCCTTTACAGCCAAGCATCTCCAGAGAACTTCCCGATCGACAGAGTCGAATGCTGCCTTTAGGTCAAGAAATATAATGACTGTTGGACGCCGGTAGGAATGCCTATGTTCTAGAATCTGTCGGAGGGTGAAGATATGATCAATACACCCTCTTCCTGGTCTAAAGCCTGCCTGGCTCTCTCGTGTTTGTGCTTCCCGAGCACCACTCAGTCTACGCATGATTATTGAGCCTAAGACTTTAGATACTATATTAGTCAAGCTAATCCCTCTGTGATTATCACAGGAAGACTTGTCTCCCTTCTTGTATATGGGGATAATCAGTGACTTACACCAACCCGATGGGACTTCTTCTGATTCCCAGACGCTGCCTAGTACCTCAGTTAATGCAGACAGTAAGCTGTCTCCACCGTACTTAAATACCTCTGGAGTCATTCCATCAGGTCCCGCTGCTTTGCCTAGTTTCAGATTGGTGACAGCTTTAGTAACCTCAGTTAGTGACGGAGGACCTGTGTCTATATCCCATTCA